AAAAGCTCAGCAGGTCTGGCAGCATCTGTGGAGGAGAAAACAGAGTTAACGTTTCGGGTCCGGTGACCCTTCCTCAGAACTGATGGTGGCTGGGAAAACGTCAGTTTATATGCAGAAAATAGGGAGGTGGGTGGGGTAGGGAGTAAACGATAAGATAGAGCCCAAAGAGAGAGAAAGACAGTTGGACAGACAGAGGAGTTGCTAACGATCAGGCTGGGAGGGTGAATAGTTGTTAATGGGGACTGTTAGTGACTAACAACAGGGGGTGTGTGGTAGGCTATGTGGTAACAAGGCCTGGTGTGTGGGACGGGGGCCTGGGACATGGGAGAGTTTAGGCCCTAAAATTATTGAACTCAATATTGAGTCCAGAGGGCTGTAGGGTCCCGAAGCGGAAAATGAGGTGTTGTTCCTCCAGCTTGCGTTGGGCTTCACTGGAACACTGTAGCAAGCCGGAGACAGAGATGTTGGCTAGGGAGCAAGGTGGTGCAATGAAGTGGCAGGCAACAGGTAGTTCAGGGTCTATTTTGCGAGCAGAACGTAAATGTTCTGCGAAGCGGTCACCAAGTTTACGCTTCATTTCCCCAATGTAGAGGAGACCACATTGTGAGCAGCGAATGCAGTAGACCAGATTCTGGGAAGTGCAGGTGAAGTGTTGCTTCACCTGGAAGGTATGTTTGGGCCCTTGGATAGTGGGGAGGGAGGAGGTAAATGGGCAGGTGTTGCACCTTCACCGGTTACAGGGGAAGGTGCCGTAGGGCTGTGGGGAGGTGTTGGGGGTGAAGGAAGTATGGACCAGGGTGTCCCAGAGGGAACGGTTCCTGCGGAAGGCAGACAAAGGAGGGGAGGGGAATATGTGTCTGCTGGTGGCACCTTGTTGGAAGTGGCGGAAATGGGTCTGATGATCTTCTGGATGTGGATGTTGGTGGGATGGTAGGTGACGATAAGGGGAACCCTATCGCTGTTGCGGGAGAGAAGAGAAGGGGTAAGGGCAGAAGTGCGGGAGATAGGTCAGATCAGATTGAGGGCCCTGTTGACAACAGAGCTGGGGAATCCTCGGTTGATGAAGAAGGAGGCTCCCTTGTCGAAGTTGGCCTCATCTGAACATATGTGACAGAGACAGAGGAACTGAGAGAATGGGATGGAGTCTTTACAGGAAGCGGGGTGTGAGGATGTATTGTCCAGGTAGCTGTGGGAGTCAGTGGGTTTGTAATGGATATTAGTGGCCAGTCTATCCCCAGAAATGGAAACAGAAATGTCGAGGAAGGGAAGGGAGGAGTCAGAGATAGACCAGGTGAAAGTGAGGGCAGGGTGGAAATTGGAGGCAAAATTGATGAAGTTTTCCAATTCTCGACAAGAGAGGGAAGCAGCACCGATGATATCATCAATGTATCAGAGAAAGAGTTGTGGGTGCGGGCTGGAATAGGACTGGAACAAGGAATGTTCCACGTACCCCACGAAGAGACAGGCATAACTAGGGCCCATGCGGGTACCCATGGCAATCCCTCTTACCTGAAGAAAATGAGAGGAGCTGAAAGAGAAGTTGTTGAGGGTGAGGACAAGCTCAGCCAAGCGGAGGAGGGTGGTGGTGGGTGGGGATGGTTCAGGTCTTTGCTCCAGGAAGAAGCGGAGAGTCCTAAGACCCTCCTGGTGGGGAGTGGATGTGTAAAGGGATTGCACATCCATGGTAAAGAGGAGGTGGCTGGAGCCGGTAAACTGGAAGCTTTGAAACCAGCGTAAGGCGTCAAATGAATCATGGATGTATGTGGGTAGGGATTGGACCAGGGGGGCGAAGACTGAGTCAAGGTCAGAAGAGATGAATTCTGTAGGGCTCGAGCAGGCTGAAACAATGGCTCTACCTGGACAGTCCTGTTTGTGGATTTTTGGCAGGAGGTAGAAACGAGCTGTGCGGGGTTGGGGGACTATTAGCTTGGAAGCGGATGGGGGGAGATCACCGGATGAAATGAGATCCGTAACCGTAGTGGATACAATGGCCTGATGTGCCATGATGGGGTCATGGTCCAGGGGAAGGTAGGAGGAGGTATCTGAGAGCTGGCGCTCAGCCTCTGCAAGGTAGAAGTCAGTACACCAGACTACAACAGCACGACCCTTATCAGCAGGCTTGATGACAAAGTTAGGGTTAGATCTGAGTGCACAGAGTGCAGTCAGTTTGGAGGGAGATAGGTTGGATTTGTTGAGAGGGCCAGTGAAATTGAGGCGACTGATGTCACGTCGACAGTTCTCAATGAAAAGATGGAGTGCAGGTAAAAGGCCGGAGGGAGGGGTCCAGGTGGAGAGAGAGTGTTGGAGTTGGGCAAAGGGGTCTGTGGGACGGGGAGAGGACTCCTGTCCAAAGAAATGAGCACGGAGGCGAAGACGGCAGAAGAACAGTTCGGCGTCATGTCGTGCCTGAAATTCGTTAAGGTGGGGACGCAGAGGGATAAAGCTGAGGCCTTTGCTGAGTACAGAGCGTTCAGCATCAGAGAGTGGAAGGTTAGGAGGGATGGTGAATACCCGACAGGAGGTGGGAGGATTGGGGGAGGGGATAGAGTCAGAGGGAAGGGAAGGAGAGGTAGGTTCCAGAGGGCCATGGGTATTTTTGAGTTGGTGCATCTTGTGGGCCATGATACCTGAAAGGAAAAGAAGAAGTTTCTTGTTAGCACGACGAATGAGCCGGAGGATGAAGTGGAACTGCGGAGTGGTGCAGCCCTGAGCCAGTGTGTTACGATGCTGTTGCAGAGAAAGGTTGAGAGTGCGCATGTGACGCCACATGGCACTGAGTGTGGATCTTAGGATGCAGCGAGAGCAGCTGTCTGTGGAACATTGAACATCAGGGAGATATCTGTGATCCTGGGAGGATTCAAAACATGAGGGATGAAACTTCAGTCTGAATCCATGTGGGGTGAGTCTGAGCCGGAGGCAGTCACTGAGGAACGTGATATGGCTGTGGAAACGAGTTTTAGCAAATACCTGGTCAAACACTAGGAGTGACAGTGAAATTAAAGTCGGTGGGCAAGAAGAGAGATTGGAACGGAAATCCAGTCGGAGAGAGGAGCAGAACTTCTTCAAGGTGGGCATGCCTTGAAGAGGTGTGGCAGTGAGTTAAATACTAAATAAAAACCAAAAGAACTGCGGATGCTGTAAATCAGGAATGAAAACAAAGTTGCTGGAAAAGCTCAGCAGGTCTGGCAGCATCTGTGGAGGAGAAAACAGAGTTAATGTTTTGGGTCCGGTGACCCTTCCTCAGAACTGATGGTGGTGGGAAAATGTTGGTTTATATGCAGAAAATAGGGAGGTGGGTGGGGTAGGGAGTAAACAATAAGATAGAGCCCAAAGAGAGAGAAAGATAGTTGGACAGACAGAGGAGTTGCTAATGATCAGGCTGGGAGGGTGAATAGTTGTTAATGGGGACTGTTAGTGACTAACAACAGGGGGTGTGTAATGGCAGGCTATGTGGTAACAAGGCCTGGTGTGTGGGGTGGGGCTGGGACATGGGAGAGTTTAGGCTCTAAAATTATTGAACTCAATATTGAGTCCGGAGGGCTGTAGAGTCCCCAAGCGGAAAATGAGGTGTTGTTCCTCCAGCTTGCGTTGGGCTTCACTGGAACACTGTAGCAAGCCGGAGACAGAGATGTTGGCTAGGGAGCAAGATGGCGCATTGAAGTGGCAGACAACAGGTAGTTCAGGGTCTTTTTTGCGAGCAGAACGTAAATGTTCTGCGAAGCGGTCACCAAGTCTACGCTTCATTTCCCCAATGTAGAGGAGACCACATTGTGAGCAGCGAATGCAGTAGACTAGATTCTTGGAAGTGCAGGTGAAGTGTTGCTTCACCTGGAAGGTATGTTTGGGCCCTTGGATAGTGGGGAGGGAGGAGGTAAATGGGCAGGTGTTGCACCTTCACCGGTTACAGGGGAAGGTGCCGTAGGGCTGTGGGGAGGTGTTGGGGGTGAAGGAAGTATGGACCAGGACATGTCAAATGCCTTTTTCACTGCCCCGTCAATCTGTGATGCAATTTTCGAGGAACTAAAAATCATCAATATTTATATCCCCAAGTTCTCTAACTTCCATGTCTTTCTCCATAGTAAATACTGATGACAAATATTCACCCATCTCCTACGGCTCGAATCATAGATGACATCATTGATCTTTTAAAGGACCCTATTCTCTCCATAGTTACTCTTTTGCCCTTAATATACTTGAGAACCTCTTTGAATTCTTATTTACCTTATTTGCCAAAATTACCTCATGTCCCCTTTTTGCCATCCTGATTTCCCTCTGAAGTGTACTCCTTTACCCACTATACTCAAGAGATTCACTCGATTCCAGCTGTCTATAGCTGACATATGCCTCTTTCATTTTCTTGACCACTGCCTCTTTTTTTCTCGTCATCTAGTGTTCCCTACTCCTGCCAGCCTTGCCCTTCACACTAATAGGATCAGGCTGACCCTGAACTCTTGTTATCTATCTTTTGACTAATGGATGGAATTATCACTTGCCAGATGTCCCTATATGTGCAAACAGCCTCCCAAAAAACCTTTTAAAAGTGTCTGTCTAACGCCATCAAAATGGCCTTGCCCCAATTTAGAACTTTAGCTTGTGGACCAGATCTATCCTTTTCCATTATTATTTTAAAACTAGTAGAATTATGGTCAAAGTGCTCCCCCACTAACACCTCAGTCACTTGTTCTGCCTTATTTCCCACAAAGAGGTTGAGTTTTGTCCCTTTTCCAGTAGGATCATCTACAAATTGATTGAAAAAGTTTTCCCAAACACAGTTAACAAATTCCTTCTGAAGTGTGCCATAACATGCCTGAACAAGTTGATTAAAAATATTTACTACAGTTACTACAATTGAAAAGATATGAAGGAGTTAAATCTACTACTGATACTTTGTATATTACTTTGCTATTGGCTTTATAGCAAGAAGCCTGTAAGCTCCCAATTATGTGTAAATCATATTTTTGTCCAGTTCAATAACTGACTGCATTGTAATCAATTCTCAGGGAGGTGTATGCGGCTGTGAGAAAGGCTATATGGAAGTGATGACTCCTTATGGATTCCTTGATTACTGCACTAAAATTCCTGAACGAGAGGAGAAGAAAGCTGATGTCAAGACGAGTGTGGGGAAGAACAAGCTGGGCAACTCAAAATTCCAATCATTTTTTAAAGGATGGTCCATTGAACCTTTTGATCCTGGTAAGAGTTGTCTTAAAATAAGTGGGAGGGAAACATTGTAAAGCTGTGGACACATGATTGGAGTTACTGATCGAGGCATGTCCAACATTAAGGTTGGTGATTAGAGAAAATATATAAAAGATGTTGGGACAGGATATGCATATAGAATCAGATCAATGCTCATATTGATTGCTCGGGAAAATAATCATTAACATGATATTTTGGTCAATCTCTTTATTGATCTTTGCCTTAACTTTCCATGTCAGGAGAAAAGGTGTTCAGCATACAGGCTGACTTAACTGTTTCACATTTTTGAGAATGGTTAATCTCATTTGGTGGTTGTGCAACTTCTCAATTTCATGAAACACTGGCCCAAAGTTCTTTCTAAGATTTACATGGAATTTCATCAAATTTACTTTCAATCCAATGTGTAGCACCTCCAATCTTAGATATCTCCATACCAATCCTTGTTACTTATGTCTTATCTTGTCTAAAAGACCAACACTGAAAATCAGAGATTTAACTGCAATTGTCACTTCATTTAATTTGTTATGTTGACTCACCTTCAAACATGTGCTATCTGAAACCAGGTCATGTGTTATATAGGATGCACGTTACTGCAGCGAGTACTATTTAATATCTAATACATACATTTACACGGAAACAGCTATCTTCATGGTTAGCAGAACCTACATGCCTACTCTCCAATTTCTGTTCGCAAGATTTTTTTATCTCAGCAGCATTTGCAAAACAGACTCCAGAAAAAATGGCTGCTGAAGACTTGTCTTTGTTTTGAACCTAAAAGTATTGCAGCTGAATGCCTTGTATGATTTTTTAGGTGGTTGCACCTGATTGCATCTCAAGAGGATTTATCAAAGTAAGCTGTGTGCAAGTATGTGACACGGACTTAAGCATTCAGACTTCAGGGCTAACTGCTTCCAACAATTTCACAGTATGGTTTCCATGGCACTTGTTTAGGTGCTCCCTCTCAAAAGACCCAAGAATCCCACCAAACCCCTTATGGTTTATGTGCAGACAAAACAACAAAACAATTTGACAGATTCTGATGATTTTCACATGCATTTCTTCACAGTAATTATCAATTGTTTCATTAAGGGAGGACTAGAAAACTTCTTTCACCTAATGATACGATCATTCTTAGAGTAAATACGAACAGAACAATCTCAGTCATACTTTTCTTCTATTCCAAAATATTCAATGTATTCATACATGTTTCCTTTCTTGCTGATTTACAACCAAAAGGCACTAAGGGGTCAGCAATTAAGTTCCAGCACACATTTATTAAATATAAAACTCATTACATGACTATCTAATCTTATTACCTACTCTTTCTTTACACTATTTTTTTCCAAGTTGCTGCAGTATCTATATATTTCCACACTAGTGGTCTCACTAATTGAATTACCTGTGAGTGTAAGCTGAGGGAAGCATCTATGCTTATCCTCCACAACATATTGCAGCAAATCAGGGAACATTCAAAATGCATGAACCTAGGCTAAGATGGTAATGAATGGCTATGAATTTTTCACAGATGCCTTCTGTCACCTAGACAGTCATGGAAAGTGAGTGAAGGAATAACCATATATATAGAATGTATTCATATATTACATTCCATAGATACATCATCCTGATCCTATATGAGTGCATTTTCCCATGTCTTCTGACCCGCTGGTGCACAGACCTTAGGGGTTCAAGTGTCTTAATGAAAGACTGTTCCCACCATGTGACCTTTTCGCAAACACACCAGTAACTGTGCCCAATACAGAGTGCTAGTTTTAGTTGTCAATACATGTCTCTCTGGCATTACTTTGTATTTGTTTGAATTGCCATCCTGTTCAAGGGTGTCTGCGTGCTTTATAACCTAACCCTTGGTATCAAAATTGAACTCTTCCATATTACCTGCCATTTGTTATAAGCTTCAAGCAACTCCTGCAATGAGAAGCCTGCTTCCCACTCCCCTCCAGCCCACCTTACTCATCAAATTTTGGCTTTGCTCCATCACTCTATAATCTGGTCCAATCTTATAATCACTGCAAATTGTATGAAAACTAGAAACATAGAAACTAGGAGTAGAAGTAGGCCATTCTGCTATTCTAGCCTGCTTCACCATTCAGTATGATCATGGCTGATCCCCAATCTCAATGCTATATTCCTACTTTCTTCCCATACACCTTGATGCCTTCAAAATCTAGAAATTTATCTATCCCGTTATTGAAATACATTCAATGACTTGGCCTTTACAGCCTTTTGTAATAGAGAATCCTGTAGTTTCATTGCCTTTGAATGAAGAAAGTTTTCCTTATCTCAGTCTTAAATAGTCCACCCCATGTCCTGAGACTGCATTCCCTGGTTCGATCAGGGAATACATCTGTCTAGGCATGTTTGAACCTTATCTGTTTCAGTCAGAGCCCCTCTCATCCTTCTCTACTCTAGTGAATACAGGCCCAGTTGAATGAATCTTTCCACATAGGACCATCCAGCCAACCCCTGTATCAGTTAGCGTAATTCTGCTGCATTCCGTCTATAGCAAGTGTATCCTTTCTCCTGCAATTCCAGGTATGGTCCCACCATCCCTACTCCTGAACTCAAATCCTTTTGCAATGAAGGCCAATATACTATTTGCCCTTCTATTTTCTTGCTGCATCTGCCTATCCACTTTAATTGACTGGTGTACAAGGGCACCCAGATCCCAAAGTGCATGTCCTAATATATCACCATTTAAATAACACTGTTCCTTTCTGTTTTTTACACCAAAGTGTATAACTTCATGTTTAGCCATGTTGTAGCACATCTGTCCACTAACTCACTAGTGTTTGTCCAATAACTCAGCTTGCCGAAGTCACTATGAAGCCACCTTGCTGCCTCCTCACAATTCATAATCCTGCAGAGTTTTGCTTCATCAGGAAACTTGAAAATGCTGCATTTGCTTCACTCATCCAGGTCACCTATAAATATTATGAATAACTGGGACCAAGCACTGATCCTTGTGGTGCCCTGTCTGCCACTCCGAAAAAGACCCATTTATTGCCATGCTGTTTCCTGTCTATCAACCAATTCTCAATCCATGCTAATATGATACCTCCTATCTTCAAAAGCTCTCGTAGATTTTTAGAGCATGATTTGCATTTCATAAACCCATGTTGGCTTTGTCCAATTCTGTTAATGCTTTCCACATGTTCTGTTATCCTATCATTTATAATAGTCTAGCATTTCCCCACTGATACTAATACTGATTTCCTTCAATATTGCCCTCTCACTGGACCCTTGGATCCCTAATATTTCTGGCAGGTTATTTGTGCCCTCTTTTGTGAAGACTTAACCAAAATATGTGTTCAATTCTTCTTATATTTCTTTGTTGTCCAAAAGAATTTCCATAGTTTCTTATTTGTAGAAGTTTTATAGTCAGCCTCTATGCTCCCTGAAACTTTAAAAAATTTATTTTCCCCCTCATGATCAAATATTTTGTCCTGTAAAATGGTCCCAAACCTCAGGCTAGCCGTTAATTTCCTTTAATTTTAAATGTTTCCTTTTCGGATCTAATACAATCCCTAATTTATTTTGCAAGGCACAGTTGAGCCACCTTTCCTCGTTGATTTTTGCACCAAAGAGTATCATTGTAATCCATGCACATGTTTTTAAAATATGAACCTTTGCCGATCCATCATCGCCCCCTTTAATATGGTTCCCAGTCTATCATTGCCAATTCATGCCTCATATTCTCACAGTTCCCTTTATTTAGATACAGGACTCTAGTTTTGGATTCAACTATTTCATTCTCCACCTGAGAATCATATTATAGTTGTTCTCCCTCAAAGCATCATGCACTGAATCTTTTCACATTGCATACCATCCAGTCTGGAATAACCTATTCTCTGGCTGGTTCCTCAATGTATAAGTCTAAAAAACATCATGTACACAGTCCAGGAAATCCTGTTCCACAATACCATTGCAAATTTGGTTTGTCCAATCTATATGTAAATTACAGTCAACTACACTTGTACCTTTATTGCATATATCTCTGATTTCTTGTTAAATGCCTTGTCTTTTATATCCATTACTGCAGCAAATTGCAGCAAACTGTCTTTTTACCCCTCAATGCTCGGGTAGACATCTTGGAGGTCTGCAGGTCTGGACCAGATTACATGGATAGGGGGTGCTTCTGAACTCTGCTATCAAACTGAGGGGCCCTTTGACTTCCTCTTCACCCTGCTAAGTCCTCTCCTATGAGAGGACCAGACAGAAAATTGCCATGGAATTGGAAAAACTGTAAAAGCATATATATTCTTCAATAGTTTGCGAGTATTAGTACTGTTGAAGAACCTTATAAAAACAAAATGCTGCAGATACTTGAAACCTGAGAGAGTAACAGTACATTGTGGACAAACCTTACAGGTCTGGCATCTGTGGAGAAACAGTGTTAATGTTTTGAGTCCAGTATGACTCTTCCGTGGAAAATTTTGGAACCGGAATTCTGAAGAGGAGTTGTATCAGACTCAAAATGTTAACTTTGTTTCTCTCTCCACAGATGTTGCCAGACCTGCAGTGTTTTGTGAACACTTTCTGTTTTTAGTTCAGATTTCCAGCATCTGTGGTATTTTACTTTTAGTTGAGTTTTGATATTGTTGGTCTTGTTTCAGCTTCTGGTCATTTGTGATCCTATAATGTTGATGGTGGGACACGCAGTGCTAGTTGTACCATTTGAAGGATGGATTTTGTCTTGCATGAGGTAGTCATTATACACCTCAAATCAGTCCAAACCTGGGTGTTGCCGATGCCTGTCTGGCATAGACTACTTAATTTGTGAATTGTGTCACAATAATGATAAATACAGACAATTGTGCATATGTTCCACTTAAATCTGTGCCTTTGGGAAATTACAGTGCATCTTTCTTTTTTCTGTACAACAGCTCTGATATTATCCATTCCAGTTGCAATCTGTCCAGAAAAAAAATGATCTCTGAAGTTACAATTATCAGCAGCCAATACACCTTTAACTTTAA